CAAAGATGCAAACTCAAGGCAATAGTTACTCCTAGATATGTGGTTGTATAATTAGAGCTTCTGTTTTTTTTATGAAAGGTGTTCCACCCTTGTTCCATCTTTTTCGTTATAGCTATCTGCCTGCATATGCAAATGGCTATTTACTCCCCATAACCCCACGGACCTAACACCGACTTTACCTGCAGGTCCTAGTGAATTATGCACGATCCTCGAAAGAGGCTGAAGCAGTCTCCGAAGAGGTGAGCTGGTTAATTAAAACACAATATTGACATATATATTTTGTTTAATATCTGTTTGCCTGTTTGTTAAATTGCATCATACAGTTAGAAGATATACAAAGACACTGTAACTGGTGATTGCCGTAAGGATTATTAAATAGTTGTTTTAGTCGGCAGTGCAGCTAGATCAGATATTTTCCTTGCTGAACTTTTCTCAGCAACTTGAGATATTTTAGTCTGCATTGTTCTTTCATGGTTGGCCTCATGTAGGAATGCATACAATTATTATCGTTTCTGACCTCCTATCCGAGTAAGCAACAACACAGTTATGCTGAATTTCTGTTCTCATTTATGATCAAGTAAACAACACCCTTGTGCTATCACTTTCAGGAACCATCCAATGCATTTAGAAATAGCCATTGGGTATTAGTTTCAATAAATTTCATTGGCCCATTGTAATTTCGTTTTTAGACTACTGTATGGTAAGAATAATAGTTCACAAAGGCCAAAAGAAATAAATTGTAATTCTCTAATGTCGATTCACAACATCCAGATTTCCATTTTGCATAAGCGGAAGTTTATAGCTATTTTAGCTCAGTTATGATTGAAATTTGGTGATAGTTATCTACCTAAAAATATATGGATACCAGCATTCAGAAAAACGTTATTGGTTTCCGGAGAGGTATCTAGTTTTTTTGTTTGTTAAATTACTTCCTTTTTCTTCATTTTTTCTCTCTGCTAAGCCTAAATGCACTGATATATTTATAATGTAATGCTATTATTTCAGATTGAAGCATCTGGTGGTCAGGCTATTACCTTTGGAGGAGATGTTTCTAAAGAAGCTGATGTGGAATCTATGATGAAAGCAGTAAGTGCAATTTTTTCATGGATGAAAAATATTTTTCCTTTCACCTATATATTGATCAGATTATATAAACTCGGTTATCATTAGTTTATGTATTTTACCAGGCTATTGATAAATGGGGAACAATTGACATCCTGGTAAATAATGCAGGTAGGTACCAATGGTTAGTTTGCACCAGTTTAGTGTTCTCTTCTGTTTTTTTCTATATGTGAAATAACATTCTGTAAACAGGGATTACGAGGGATACGTTGTTGATGAGGATGAAGAAATCTCAGTGGCAAGATGTAATTGATCTAAATCTTACTGGTGTTTTCCTCTGTACACAGGTAGGTTTTTGCCCCTTTATTTGTTCTTTAATTTTTTGAAAATTTTGCTACTTGAATTATGTTTATGCTTCTTACACCTGCACATTACAGGCTGCCACAAAAGTAATGATGAAGAAGAAAAAGGTATATTTTTTGTTTCATTCTTTGAATTGGTTTGAACAATTTTGCTACCATTGGCTACTTTATTGGAGTTTAACTTTTTTTTTTGGTATGCATTAGCTACCGGTCCTATTAAGAATATACTGCAAATACATACGACATATTTTGTCCATTGTTCAATAGATGTGTTCATTACTTTGCACACTCTCTGATACGCAACTTTTGGCCTCTAATTTTTTACATGAATATACATAGAGAATATATTGTGAAGTCATTATTCATGGCAAACATAATGGTACGGTTACCACCTACCCAACATTTTTTTCCATTAGTTGTCAATGACGGAGAAGTTTGACTGCACTCTTTCTGAAGTGTCATCTATTTTTAGAACAAAGTTAGTATGAAAAATATGAGCTTGTAGTAGACTATTAGGGTGTGTTTGGTTCCAGAACCAAGTGGAATGCCATGAAACCATTCCATTCCTAAGGAATGGAATGATTCCATCTTGGTGTTTGGCTAGAAGAGAATGAGGTAGGATGGAACCAAAATTTGATGCGGCGCCGGACTTGAGGAAGAACGCCAAATTGACCACGACGGGTGGCATGACCTGGGCGTCAAGGTCAATTTGGGCAGCGGCCTGACCTGAGTCTCCGGCCCTCTCGTATCTCCCTCTGGCGGCCCGGTAGAGAGGCCGCACGGCCCAGCTTTCCGTCCACTGACGCGGAACGGCGGGGGCTTGGTGGCGTAGGACTCGGAGCGGTGGTCACCGGATGGATTTCTGCAGCCTCCTGGAGGAGATGGCCGGCTACTTGCACTGCCTCCGCGCGCAGGTGCAGCTCAAGCGCGGTGGCTGGCTGGATGTGATGCTCCCGGTGGCGCAGGACCGTGGCTCCTGACGCTTGGAGCGGCTGCTCCTGACGGCGCACGAGGCCATGGTGGCAATGGGTGAGGAGGGAGGTCGTGGGAGCGAGCTGTTCCGCGTGGTCCGCTCGGAACGGCCTAAACACGGAATATGCCGTTCGCTGGAATCTGTTGGTTCCGGTTCCTTTGACGATCCAAACGTGGGAATGTGCCCTGGGGACAGAGCTGATCCTTGCCGTTCCACTTCATGACAGAAACCTAACACACCCTTAGATCTACACTTAAGTTCTGTCACGCTTCAAATAGCAAGTCGCCGAGTCTCCGTTGACCCCCAGACCCCTCTCCTCAGTTACAAGCTTACATTGCTTTAGTTCAGGACTCAGCTTAGTTTCTTAGCTGAAGGAAAAGGAAGGCCTCCTTACATTGGTTTATTGTGTTTCTGAGCTGAAAGATAAAAATTATAAGGCCTTACCATGTTGCTAGTGCATGAGCTATGTGTATGCTCGTAAAGGGCCTGTAAAAAGAGCTACACTGCCAAAGTAAGAGTAGTATGTTCCTTTTAGTTAGGACTTAGGATACTGTTTTTCTTGCTCTGACATAAAATAAGCTCTGCGCAGAAGGCACCTGATTAAATTTTCTGTTATCGGTTGTAAGATACTTATTTTATGTTTAATGCAGGGAAGAGTCATCAACATAGCATCAGTTGTTGGTCTTACTGGCAATGCTGGCCAAGCTAATTACAGTGCTGCCAAGGCTGGAGTCATTGGTTTCACTAAAACAGTTGCTAGGGAATATGCAAGCAGGAATATCAATGTGCACTCTCTGTCTTTTCATCATTAGCTCATAAATCATAAAACCGTAAGCCAACTTCTGAACAGTTGTGAATACTCAGGTGAATGCAATCGCACCTGGATTCATAGCATCAGACATGACCGCGGAACTTGGAGAGGAGCTTGAGAAGAGAATCTTGTCGACTATTCCTTTGGGTATGCATCTTAAGCTGTAACCTCTGATTAAATAGCATTGCTCACATTCTGCTCCATTGTTCATACATCGTAAGTATAGCGAAAAACTTAAATGTTATGTTATGTACGTGTGTGTGCTCATGTGCACTGTATCTACCATGTGAATGTTTTCAGTCAGCACTAATGCCTCATTCAACTTCTTCACAGGGAGGTATGGCCAGCCAGAGGAAGTTGCTGGGTTGGTTGAGTTCTTGGCCCTGAATCCCACGGCCAGCTACATCACTGGACAGGTTGGTGCAACTTCGATGCTGTTTGTGCCATTTGGTTATCTGAATTCTGAAATTTGACAGGTTTATTATTGAACTATCTCTTGGCAGGTGCTTACCATCGATGGTGGGATGGTAATGTGAAACCTTTGAGCAAGTTTGATGGAAGGTTGACATTTGCCCTGTGTAGCGGGACATTCTAGTAATTTGCATTGAACAATTTTGAGCTGTAGATTTAGGTTTCCTTTTTCGAACTTTGTAATCCCATGCAGAATAAATCAGGTGTGACCATGTGGGGAAGTTCAGATATGTGTTATGTCTTCAGCATCCTTTTTACTATTTCTCCGTTGGTTTTCAGACCCATTTCCAAAGATCTGTAGGTTGCTGGATGGTTATTTTCTGTTTTTATATAGGTGAGGTATCCAGTGAAATGCCCATTCAGTGAAAACTTGAAAACTGTTGTTGTAGGCCATCTGATCGCGATCAGAGGTGGGAATTCCACAAGCCACTTGCTACAGTTGTGCCGAAACCCCCCTACTAACAATAAGTTGCTGAAGAGGAAACATTGGGAATTATCCCCTTTTCCCCACCCACGCGAGGGCGGCCTTTGGAATAACTATAGTTGAAAGCCTGAAACCCCCCTGCTAACAATAATTTGCTGAAGATGAAAAACTTGGGAATTGACCCCTAGTTGTTTTCCACCGCCCTCCTGGAGGCTGCGCGATTCAACGGCCACTGACAGTGGTGCCGCAACTGCACCCTAGCACCGACCACCGCGTGATTCAACGGCCACTGACAGTGGTGCCGCAACTGCACCCTAGCACCGACCACCGCGTGATTCAACGGCCACTGAGTGGCGCTGCAACCACAGCCCGGCAATGACCACATGCGCTGGTGGCGCGGCGCTCGCCCCACGCAACGACGACCTGACAGACATATGGTGGCCCTCGCGCGACAGCAGCCTCTGGCCTGGCGCGCGCGACGATGACATCCGCGACCCGGCGCTGCTCCCATGCGTCGGCGTCGGAGATCGAGCGGACGTGGGATTGCCTCCATGCGACAGCAACCTAACGACTTGCCCTTCAAGGCTTGCTGTTTTGCTATACAGAGAAATCGCTCCTACAACTGGGGCAAAATTAACTAATTTGACCTACGGACGAAATCAAATCACATAATGAACTACCCGTGAAACTATTTCACGTGGCTAACCTTTTTGTGTGACGCCCGACACGAAGACGCCACAGTACACTGTGCAACGCCTCACAGATAGGCGCTACACGCCTGGCCAGCGTCGCACCCGCATGATCCGAAAATTACTAAGTTAGTGTGCAGCGCCTGAGAGCTAGGCGCCACACTATATAGTGTAGCGCCTAGCTTCTAGGCGTTGCACTAGTGGTTGCTTCATTTTGTAGTGCAATCACTAGTGCAGCGCGTGAGAGCTAGGCGCCACACTATACAGTGCAGCGCCTAGCTCTTAGACTCTGCACAATGACTTAGCAATTTTTAGTCAGTCTTGGGTACAACGCTGGCCAGACGTGTAGCGCCCATCTGTGAGGCGTTGCACAATGTAGTGTGGCGCCTTCATGTCGGGCGTCACATAAAAAAGTCAGCCGCGTGAAATAGTTTCACAGGCAGTTCATTCTGTGATTTGATTTCGTTCACAAGTCAAATTTGTCAAATTTGCCAACAACTGGCTTTAAGTTGTCACCGCATTTGGGGATACATGGTGAACCCTGCAAATTACAACACCCATTAGTCATACAAATTAGCAATTGTTTGCGGAATTAGAATTAAGTTGTGGTCATAATGAAATCATAAATTGGGTCGCTCATAATTTTCTTTTGTGTACCGAAGCTATCCAAATTGATCGGGGCAAGATGTATTTCCAGATCATGGCGTCTTCCCTGATGACCCATAAGTATAGATGATCACAACAATCTTCCAATGTAGTATTTCACCTAAATTTATTGATTCGACACAAGAGGGCCAAAGAATATTTATAAGCCTTATCAGTTAAGTTGTCAATTCAACCACACCTGAAAAGTCACTTTCTTGTAGCAATTTATTAGTAACACAATAATGTGATAGCAGTGCAAACAGTAGTAATAATAGCAGTTTTGTAACAACAACAACAACAACAACAACAACAACAACAACAGTAATAGCAACTGAGTAAACACAATATTGTAAAAGCGCAGGAATGAAGTAGAGATGGATATTTGGATGAAATTCATTATGTAACAACCACAATGTAGAGCAATACATAATAGCTCTAGTTCATCAATTATATGTAGGCTTGTATTTCGTATATAGTCATACGTGCTTGCGGTAAGAAATTCCATGACATCTTTTGTCCTACCCTTCCGTGGCAGCGGGGTCCTAATGAAAAATAAGGGTAACTAATGTGCTCCTTTTAATAGAGAAACGAAAAAAAACATTAGTAAATACTACCTCAGTCCTGGTTTATTGGTCCCCATTGTATTTCGTGCCAAATTTTAACCATAGATTTAACTAATAAAATGTTCATGCATGTCACAAAAAGTTATATCATTAAAAACTATGTTCAAATATGAATCCAATGATATAATTTTGTTGATATGCATTAACATTTGTTAGTTAAATTTTTGGTCAAAATTTGGCACGAAACACAATGGGGACCAATAAACCAGAACATAGTTATAGTCATCCCCGAAGAGTATCCAATTATTGTCACCTTAGGGTTATGGTTCAGAACAATAACAGATGTATATAACTTGGAGATAGGATCAAGAACTCAAATATATTCATGAAAACATAATAGGTTCAGATCTGAAATCATGACACTCGGGCCCTAGTGACAAGCATTAAGCATAGCAAAGTCATAGCAACATCAATCTTATAGCATAGTGGATACTCAGGGTCAAGCCCTAACAACCTGACTCGATTACATGACGAATCTCATCCATCTCAATTTGTCTCCAGTATGCCTACAATGAAATTACTCACTCCCGGCGGTGAGCATCATGAGGTTCTTTATGCTAGTGTTTTTTTTATATATTTCAGAAAAATTCTCAGTAAAGTTCTGTTTAGCTCTGAGAACTTTTTATTTCCCCACAAAAATAACAGCAAAGTAGTTCTACTGAAAACAACATCAGTCCGGATTAGTTTCATTTAAATCATGCAAACTAGAGTCCAAAACAAGAGCAAAGATGTTTGAAAAAGTAGATACGATGGAGATGCATCGACTCCCCGAAGCTTAACTCATTTCTTGCCCTCAAACAATTCAGTTGATAAACTGAAAGTGACAAAGAAAAACTTTTACAAACTCATTTGCTTTTGTTCCTGTATATAAGTGAAGGGGTCCTGTACCCGGGGTGGCTACCACCAAGGAGCCCTGCCTCATCAACTGCAAGGGGGGCCAACAGGCCCACAACGTGATGCTAACCCTAGGAGGCCAGAAGACCTTCTTGACGCCCAAGACTAGAGGGCGACGACGTCCTAGATCGCATTCGACATGTAAATTCTAGACCTCTCCTCTCTATAGAAAGGGAGGTCTAGAGTTCCCCTTGAGTCATCTATCTTTAGATAGGAGAAGAGAAACTCTCGGTAGCAACATCATACACCATTGTAACCCTTGCACGAGGTATCCCTCCATTATGAATAACCAAAACCAGTAGGATGTAGGGTATTACTCTCCGGAGGCCCAAACCTGGATAAACCCCTCGTGTGACCTCCGATCCATGACTTCCAGCTGTGCTTGGACCACCGAGGGATCTAACGGAAATCTGCTCCGTCAGTTGGCGCACGAGGCACTCCCGGCGCCGGCTATAGACCGATCATGGGTCAGATCATTCCCTACCTTCGGCGGTCTCTCACTGGGGGAAATCCTAACCTTTGGCTCTCTGATGTTCACCACGAATGACATGGGCCGGGTCGACATCAACCTACCGGATCGTCATGCATGATCTACATCGGCAACATCACCTTTGTCACCAACACGCACGGCGACCTCCGGATATGCCTGCCACATGTCCAACATGGCGGAATCCCGATCACGATGACCTCAGCTGTCGACCCCGCCGATCGCTTTCCGTTCGGACTGAAGAACGCAGGGGCTGCATACTAGATCGAGTTCCACCAATGTCTCAAGAGGAACATGCAACTCGTCGCCATGGTGTGCGACAACTGCCACATCAAACATGCACCCGAAGACCATTTCCTTAATGAGGCGATCTCAGATTGCAGTGTCGACACTGCAGATCTGTTTATCATTGTCTGACCACGAGGACACAGACGGCGAACGGACCTCACCAGAGGAGGTCAAGGCCGAAAATATGGGGATCTCACCGGCCGAAATTGGATCTCCAAGGACGAAATACGAAGGCCGCGACAAAGAGCAAGACACCTCGAAATCTTGGAACCAGCAGGAAACAGAGGACGGTGTCGAACTGTACGACCCACAGCCGATCTCTCTGCACAAAGTGATGTTTGTAGAAACAAAGGCCGAGACATGCGATAACACGCCACACTCAACCACTGATAACCCACAAGTATAGGGGATCAATTGTAGCTTTTTCGATAAATAAGAGTGTCAAACCCAATGAGGGGCTAAATGTAGAATTTATATTCTCCTCAATTTCTACCGACCACCGATACAACTCTACGCACACTTAACGTTCTCTTTACCTAGAACAAGAAAATAACTGCTTCTAGTGCATCCCGACATGAAAATAACTGCCTGCATGAAGAGAAGATTGTTGGGGAACGTAGTAATAATTCAACATTTTCCTACGTGTCACCAAGACCAATCTAGGAGATGCTAGAAACGAGAGAGAGGGAGTGCATCTTCATACCCTTGAAGATCGCTAAGCGGAAGCGTTACAAGACCGTGGTTGATGGAGTCGTACTCGCGGCGATTCAAATTGCGGAAGATCCGATCAAGCACCAAACGGACGGCGCCTCCGTGTTCAACATACATACAACCCGGGGAAGTCTCCTCCTTCTTGATCTAGCAAGGGGAGAGGAGAAGTTGAGGGAGAACTCCGACAACACGACGACGTGGTGGCGGTGGAGCTCGTGGTTCGCCGGCAGGGCTTCACTAAGCACTACGGAGGAGGAGGAGTTGGAGGAGGGGAGGGCTGCGCCA